CTCAAGTTGGCTGTATAAATAGTTTTCATATAAAAGTTAATGAAAATGTCTATTGTGTATTCCAGGATAGATATGTATGGGAGATAGAAAAAGTCACTAGTCACTTTAAGAAGCCTTAACCTTTTATTTCAGCACACATGCTAAGGGAATAATTTGTTCCTTATCACTTCTCTGGAGTTGTCCAATCAGACAGGAGACTGGCAAGCACTGGTGCACGTGTCAAGCAGATGGATCTCACAGCTGCTTCCAGGGCACAGAAGTAATTCAGGGATGCTGAAACACACAGTAATACCTGGAAACTGCCCAACAGAAGTGGTCGGTCTATACACAGTAATTTTGGGTTCTTCCCTACAGGATGGTGCCCATGGGGTATGCAGTTTTATCTCCAGCAAGCTTGTAAGTACTTGCTTTCTTCATGAAGAGCATGCCCGCAGGGAAACTCCACAGTTTGTATCATCCTGTCTCATTACGTTTACACCAGGAGGAAACCACCAGAAGGATTTTACTTGCCTCAACTCTAAAATGATGAGCTTTTCTGTCCCTAGTCCCCTTCTGGAAAAGAGAGTTTGTGTTTCTTAAGGGACCTCAAAATGCCATCTAGAATCAGACTGTGCTTGCAAGCCAAGCTGGAACATAACCCTGCTTTTATATTAATGCCCGCAGGGCCTGAAATGACGTTATTTTAAATTGCAGAGTGGTGTATAAGTATGATAGCTGTGGATCGTAAAATGTGCTTTTATTGTTTTACAATAGCCCCTGAAGCAGTATCCAGGGCTTCAGTGAGCTAAATGCGTATGCCCATAGGTGGGAAGAGGCAGGAGGAGGTACAGGCACAAGCAGCAACAGAATCACCCCATGTTTTTATTCTGTTGCAGAGTTCAAGGAACAAAAAAGGATACCAGCAACCCTAATAGCTGGTCTAACTAGATTTGTGTGGAAACAAGTAAAAGGCTGGCAAGATGGAAAGGCAGATGGTGCTGCTGGGGAGCTGTACATACACTGCAGTTAAATCTAGCACATCTTCAGCCAAAATGGCTCCCAGGCATTGGAGCTGCTTTCATACCCCAGCCTCTGAGGTGTCCTCGGGTGAGTCACTTGCAGGTCCTCACCAGACTGGTAACCGACACTCAGCCAGAGGAGCAGCACAGGGTAGTGGCCTCAGGGTGGTGAGCTGATGACAGTTAACCTGGGTGTAGCTGTGGCTGAATAACTGTTGAAGGTAAATTCACCCTCATCTCTTAGCTTCTCTCTTAACCTCAGGCTTCCCAAAAAAGAGCCCTGTCCCAAGAGTTGGGGCTTAACAGTATAAACGCTAGCTGGGTTAGGGATAGAGCTCCAGGTACAGACCATGAGCGAGGATCCAGTGAGGGGACAGCCTCAGCGCTGCATGTGTTCAGGTTTCCATCTCAGTGGGTATAATCCATAAACGGATAGCAAAGCAGGTGGCAGTAAGCAAGTGTGTGCAAGAGGCTTCCGCAAGGAGCAGCTCTGTGCCAAAGTAAATTACCATCAGTTATCATTTAAATGGGAATAAGCTTCACTATTATTTTTTGCATATTCATTCAGAATGAAAACAGGTGTTCCTCAGCCCATGTTATAAACCTGCAACACACATTTAAAGGCAGGCAAGAAGATTATCAACAGAAGAAGGGTATTGAGGCCTGTTAGTGAACCAGTTTATCTGCAAAATTCTGTCTGATAATGGTAATGGGAGCACATTTCTGAATCAGAAAACATTTCCCAAGCTGTTAAACACAGCATATGCAAACTGCCATTCCAGCAATACTGATATTGTCACAAGTCAAGTTTTTGTTGTTGTTTTTAAAAAGGAACAGTAACTTCCCCTTAGGAAAACTGCTCTGGATCACTGTTGAGGTTTGGGTGAGTGTTTAACAGAATGATTTTCTGGGTTTAATTATTTTAATTTTATTTGCTTGCTACCTTTACATTTCATGTTGTGGCACGTTTGCAGGCTGCAGCCAGGAATCTGGGTTGGAATGATATATTAGACTTCAGAAGGAAGCAAATTGCTCTATCTAAATCATCTGAGAAATTCTTTTGGGTTATCCAGTCTGTTTGAAATTGTCAGGATGTCTCCTTTTCCTCCTAGCTTATAAAACCTGAAGCATTAGCATCCCCGCCTATG